AAAAAAAAAGATCAAACATTTAAAAAAGACGTCAAATTCACCTGTATACTAATTAAAACTTGTAGCAGTGAGCAGTAGGGATTCCATTTTTCTTCGGGACGACCTTCCCATGTTCCAAGAATCGATAAACATATTTTACCGTCATTATAAAGATTTGGATTGAAACGCACATTTCCAGCTCCAGTCGTTAAGAATGCACATTTTGGTGGTGAAAACGGATAACTATAAACAACCAATTAATCGCATCATTATTAATTACATCATTATAAACATTGACTTTTGAAGTTTTAGTGAAAAACCGAAAACAGAACTCTTTACGTATCTTTCTTTATCAGAATGACAGCTATTTCTATGCGAGAGATTAACAGTCAAAAATCCGCACGTTTCACACTCAAATAATGTCTTCCAATCATTTGTTTGAGGTCTGGAACACGTGAATTCGGAAAGATCTGTTACGCTGATGTCAAGTCAACTGACATGATAACTCAATCATTTTTTTTCACTTGACTGAATTGGAATAACATTTAGTGCAGATGTTCAACTAGATTTATATTTTCCTGGAGCTCATTCGATATTGATTCGAATGCATAAAATATTATGATACCAATTAAAGATCACATTAACGTCGAATTACGTAATACAAATGCAATGCAATGTCTCTTTTCAGTAATGACTTCATTTAATTACTGACAATTTCTACAAACAATAAAATCAGCACAAAACCTGGTCGGGAAGAAGACATCAAATTCGAATAGACCATTTTGGTAAGGAGTGTCATCAGGACCAGAAATTAATACTTTAACGATATCACATCGACCTTCATCAACACACACGAATATGCTATTACTTGCATTCAATGGCAACGTATTTGGCATTGAAGCCAGTTCTTTCGCTGTAAATATCACTGTTACTCTCACAGATATATTAAAATCGCTGTTGTTGTTTGAATTTTGAGCAATTCATTCATTTAATCAGTAGCACAATTATATTAATATCCATGCGGCTATTGATATTTTGGATAGAATCGTTTCGTTCTCATCGATAATGCTATCATTTACTATAAGTCTCATTTATAGCGAATAATCATAAGTGAAAGTCAATTATTAATTGATCAGTTAGTCGGAGAATAAGAGCATTAGTCGAAACATTTCACTTCATGAAGATATTCGCANCACATCAGATAACAGGTGAACAAAACATTACCAATCCTCTTGGTACGCTCTTTGAGTGACGGTGAAAAGGGATTGACATTACGCACATCCTTCTTGAAACTGAATGGTACAACCAATTTACCGTAATCGCCGATAAACCTAAATCGTTAATCAACAATCACAAAAGCGATCATTCTTCCGCAGAGCTTTCTAAACATTCTCCGAGCGCCATACAACGGAAAGACAGAAGACTGACTCCACGAGAAACATGAAGTATTTGTGGATAATACGACTGAATGCAAACGAAACATCAGCGAATCGATAACCTGAACGTTTGCATTTGCAAATGCTTCAGTGCCTTTCCATAAAGCAGTCCAATATCAGCGCAATCTTCGATACGCATATTAGTGATATCATTGAAAGAATAACGTGACAGTGATGCTTCACTGAGTGTTGTACGAGGTCGTATTACCGCGGTACGTACACGTTGTTCAGCTGGTAAATCCCGTTCATAACGTCTCGCTGCATTCATCAATACCTTGAAATGCGATTGTCTATTTGAGAAGAGACCTCATTTTCGCTTATCAAATGCATTTCACCAGGGATCAGTACTCTGATATTAACGTCGATGGTATTATTACTTCTGATGTAAACCTATCGCAATTCAGTTATGTTGCATCATTAAATTCTACAAACTTCACTTCCTCCAACTATTCAGTACATCACTTGCGAATACGATTGTAAACACTTGATAAGACAGCAAAACCAATTGGTTTCTTTTTGGTTCTTGCTAAAATTGGCCGTCAGGATGAAAAAAGGAAAATTCTCATGAGTATCTTCATTGAACGAGCCACATGGTACTGAACCACTGTAAAGCGAAAAACGAATGACGTGCAGTTGTTGGTTGATTATTCCCATTGAATAGGCAGCGATACAAACCTCAGAATATCGCTCTGTTTTCGCGATGAAGTCAACGAGACGGAAATCTGGTGAACCCATTTGACCTTTGAAGATGTTCGGATATGACGACATTGTGTTGCTGAAGCGTAACACAAGATCCTTCGCTATCGATTTCGAGTTGTTATTTTGCGGACGTACCAAATACGGTACTAATGCGGGCACTACTGACATGGCTGCTGCTGTCTCTAACAGAGCCTGTGAAAAATATGCTGATTCACATGTGGAACGTTCATCTGTTGGTAGTGGCATCTCGTCAAAAATCTTGAAGTATTTCAGGCACTCATCGTCTTCATTCGTTTTTCATGTCTTTCATATTCCAATCGCTCTATTCTGTTGATTAAGATGTGTTTTTGTTAATAAGTTCTGTCGAAAGACGACCGTGAAACACTGTTCTCAATAAATAATTATATCAAACCAGATCGCTTTAAAACATGAACAAGTATCCGAATACAGCGTACGACATCATTACAATTGAGATAGGTCAATGATTCAAGTGGCAAATGAGGATATGACAGCGGTTTCCGCTCACCTGGTAGAGTTCCATATGTTCACTGACATCAAAAACACTATCATTGTTCATATGATATTCAAGCAAAGTTATAATCGCAGATTCGCCGATCTCTTTGGTTACGGCTGGACCAACATGCACTGGATTGCGGTCCATAAATTTCAAGTAGTCATCGTCCGAAAAGTCCGGTGATGCACAATAGATATAAGCTGTCACTGCATTCAACAGCCATATCAAGTGCTCTTCACGCGCCAACCGTTCTTCAACCTAACCAAAACATCATTATCAATTGACTACACTGATTGAATCGATCATTTTCTTTGTTAATAGACAACTTTTTGAAAGTGCTATCATCAACAAATGCATTGTTAACTCAGAAACTGATATGTCAGCACACAGCGATCCGTGATTCATGTTTCAGACTTACGGATAAAAAATAAACCCTGCTAATCCCATACGCTTCCTAAATAAATTCAATATTCCTGATGTTAGAACAATTTCACCACTTAGCGACATTCCTTGAGATATTCAACATAAACAAACATTTTCATCACATACGATGAATCAACTATCCAATGCATAATTAATTTTAAAGCAAAAAATCGAGATACGATCATTTCAATCGCATCATCAAAGAGAATAGGATTTCGAGTAAATAAAGCAATGGTCAGCAACATTCTGTGAAACGTATCAAAAAGATGTGATGGATTTAAATTTCATTAGATATGATGGATCATTCGAAACTGGTCATTCAAAGCACACTAGTTAATTGCATATATTTT